CCTATTACTACTGTTTAAGCCTAATGTATGCAGTTTAGACAATTTTGTTAAAAATATAATAACCGATCTTTATATCTTGTTATATTTTATACGATTACACAATGCTACGCCTGTAGCATACTTGAGGACTGAGGTCCACTGTTGTTGAACATGGTTTACTTTCTTGGAAACCGGAACAAATTCATAACGGATCGTACTCTGACAAGAAGCAACGGTAAGCCACAACAATATGATTCTCAAACGTGATAAGAAGGCACAAACCAAATTTAAAAATAAATTGTTCAGAACTGCTGCTTCTGGATAATGGGACACATTAAACTTCCAGGTGCAAGAAAACAGAAAATCTTTAACATAGATACCTGCAGTTCTCTATGGAGCTTAGTAAAATTACATTTCTGCTTCAACAAAGAATATAATACAAAACTAAATTAAGTTCTGTAACAACATTTTTATACTCTGAATAGAAGGCGAGCCAACAACGGGCTTGTTGTTATGAAACCAGGTGTAGTAATTTCCGCGTTAATTTCTGACATTTCTCCTAAGCAACGTGTCTTTCAAAGTCTTCCAACGAAATTGCATTTTAAGTAGAGCACTTTTTTAGTTTAACTCTTGCTACATCTAGCGCATTAAATCGAAGTAAAACTTAGTATTTCCCGCCATCCTTATCTTATTAAAAGTAATGTATAAAAATTATTCGGATTAAATTAACTCTTCTAACGCGATTTAAACAGTGCTGCAAAGGTTTAGTGTTTTTTAATATACACTAGCCATTTTACCAGATGACAGCCACCTTTTACATCGATAATGTAGCTTACGAAATTTCTATATGTAGACGGAAAAGAAAACAAAAGATGACAGATTTATAAACGTGAACGTTCGTAAGAGTAAGAATAATAAATAGCAGGAGAGATTATTTTGATATTGGTACAGAAATTAAGTTTCCTGACCTGTAAAGAAAACGAGAAGACGAAAGAGGGGAAAAAATTATCTTTTCTTTCACAGTCATTAGTTGTTAATGGAGAGTACAGTGAACGCTAAAAATTCGTCAACTTTGTCATTTCATCCTTCACAATTTATCCACGAAATGTAAGATTTCGATAATGCAGGTGGTCTAAGATTTCTGAGTCATGGCCACGTTTATATTTAATAGGTCCAGCTACAGACCTGTGTGAGAATATCCGCTGGACATGGAAGAAATAAGGGAAACACAAAACAAAAGCTAAGATTTTAAATATGAGATGTTGTTACTGCGGTGAAGATGTCGATTTTGGTCTTTTGTGATGTAACGCCGTGAAGATGTGTGTAGTATTTCTTGGCAATAACTAACAAAATTTCGGAGCTAGACATGTAACATTTTTATAGAGACAAAACATTAACATACTCATAATTTCTGAATCAAACATTTTGTGTGTAAACAATTATCAGTATGGCGACCGAGGGAACTACGTTGGTGTACACCTACAAGTCCACACGGTATTGAAAGTCAGAAGACCAAAATCGACAATCTCAACCGCTGTGAGAATCTCGAATTTCACATAAAATTCTATAGCCGCCCATAATGTGAAGACGTTCATAAATTCCCTACGCAAAGTAATGAAAAGTTCCAAACGATATGGCATCTATAACGAAAACATAAACACTTATATTCCTTTAAGTTGTAACCTAGATATTTACTATCGAGCGATGATGTTGAATGGTTTTACAACTACTCTTTTGTGTTTGGGAAGTCCAGAATGCAGTCCTCGTCCCAGGGGACGAATATCCAGACTGGAGTTGTTCGCTGTTATGGTTTGTTTCATCAGGGAAATTATGGCGTGGCGGCTTAATACAGACTGAGACTATTCCATTCTATATAATTTCGAAAGGGGCCAAGGTCCTTTAAAATTGCAGAAGTATGTGAAGTCACCATAATGTATTTTTCAGGACAGACAAAAAAGATGACTGTTTAATTTTGATTGTCTCATCAGACAAATATCAGGAAGTCAGGATCTACGACGTAAGACGGAGAAAACTTTTAGTTCTGTGTGTGTGAGAACGCTCTTTCATGAATAATTTTCAATCAGATTACACAACTTCACAGCGCTGTCTGCTGTATAATTCCGAATACTATATTTGGAGAACAATAGACTATCACAAGCCGTGAGCGTATTGGTGTCGCTACCCATGATCCATGCGTAATTAGTGAATGTGGCTAGAGGGCATGGACCGAAACCGTTTGAGTACAGCACAAACAATCCTCCAGTTCACTGGCCACCGAGAGGTGCTGCCAACAAACCAGTTCAGAATTCCCTTCCAATACTAGCCACGTTACTAGTTACTCAGAGCAATGGAATTCAAGTTATTCAATAAGTAGCTTCCGTTTAAAACATATGCTGTTTGTCCTTGCAGGTCACCTCAAGCTGCGAAGAAACGAGATGAAATATAGGTCTATGACCAAAGACAAAGGATAGCTTTTTACTGTAACCCTGATCGTTTTCGTATTGCTTGAAACTCCTGGCATAAATTCATTCCATAACAAGAATTTAAATACCGGTTTATATTGTAAAAAATAAGTATTTCAACTAACTGCTCGTAACATCGTGAAACAGAGTCCTTTTTGGGAAGCGTGGCTGAGATATGAGCACTATATGGATTTATTACAACTTCGTCTTCAGATATTTCTGAATTCCAAACGTTTAAACAAATCTGCTGGAACTGAAAATACATACAAACGGTACGTTTACACTGGGGACTTTTTGTGTAGAACTTGAATTTCATATGTTATGTGGTGTTAAATTCAGCAATGTTCTACGAAAACATAGATCCAGGGATGCAAACCGAATAACACAGAGACCTGCAAAACTTTTCAGACAGTCGAAAAGTCTTTATGCCAGCTAGACTACGCACTTTACCCTAATACCAGCCTGAGCAATAAACACGTAAAAATCCTATTCGACTTTGTTTGTGGATTGTAAAGAAGCAGGCTCCTGTTGAGATTGTAATTCACTTTCGACTGGAAGAAGTCTTTAATGGCGGTCCTTATCTTCACCCATAAAAGAGGATATTCAATTCCTGAAATGAAATTCGTTGTTTTTACTATCAATCACAATTACCAGTACAAATTAAAAACGCTGTTCACGTATAAACATTTTATTGCATTGTATCAGCAGCGGAATAAGGATAAATAAAAAAAGATACGGTAAGCAAGAGAAATTTGTTAAGTTTGTTTAACGACGCATTCTCAACTGCATAGTCTACTTTCATGTGAATGAGGTGGGCATGGCATATTTTAGTCTGTATAGGGAATAAACATAAATAAACATCTCAGGTAGCCAGCCTCCGAACCATAAATCGAAACCAGAACCTTCGGATAAGGAAAAAATTCTAAGCAATCGACCGCAAAACTGAACTGAACTTTTCTGGGAGTCGTGGAGATTGTACATGAATTTTATCTTACAAATCTTCTTGAAAAATATATTCTGATGGAGTTAACTATTACAAACAAACTTTTAAAATATTTATTTGCTTCAAATACAAATGCAACTTTGATAATCTAATCACAATGTAGCCAGAAATTACTTGAATTTAGCGATCGCCATATCGAAAGATATTTGAAATGGAAGTGAGAATACTAGTTATAAGTAGGCCTGTATTTAAGGCTATGTCATGTGCCATGACTTTCAAATAATAACTTTTTAATTTTTATAAAGTTCAACTTGTGCTTCATGTAAAGTACAGGTAAGCACCGAAATTAAATTTTCCCCCAATTTTCAGTATACAAACGCAATGCCGAATTTAATTTAAAAACCGTGGAATTGTTTCGGAGTGAAAACTGCGGACGGACAAAGAACCGCACATACACATTCTCCTCATTGTGCTTTCACTTTCTGAATTGTGTGTAAAGAACGCATAAAACTGCATTCATTTTCAAAGGATAAAATATCAAAGCTTTACATGCGGTGGGTGACGGTACAATGTTTTTATGTTACAGAGTGAAGAAGCCGATAATTCCCCTAAAGCAACGAGGAACCTATTTGGGATTTTTGCAACCAGACCTCCTCAGATCGACTTCCCCTTCTGTAGACATACATGTAGTGAGTACGAAATTACTTTATTAGATGAAAATCACTATACGTTAGTTTCTGTTTGATAATGAAACAGGGACAACGAAACTAATAACCTCAATAAATTTCCTAGCATCGCTGTAAATATCGTAAATTGTTAACGTCTTCTGGGCTGTATCGCAGTGTGGTTTGGTAGAAGTTATCAACGTTTCAGAGGTCCTTGCTGCCTCCATCATCAGGGCGATGACAGCACCAGGCTATGCAGACGTATGAGGGAGTGGGGTTAAAGTTCCACGTATTATTAAGCTCTGTATGAATGGAAACGAGTGTTTACCTTCACGCTAGGCCACTGTATCCCCAAGGAAAGAACCCTGGTACCAAGTGGACAGGAGGTTGAGCAGGCCCTAGAGGCTGTCTGGCCGTTATGGCTAAGAGAATAATTAAACCCTACCGGAAATCGAAACCCCTTTCATGAGATGTATCTGTAAGATAACAAGACAAAGGTTCGACGGTCTAGACATCCTGGAAATTTCTATATGGCAACAAATTCCATATTCTTACAGTGCGATATAAGTTACAGTTTCTGGCTAAACATTAAACAGAATTTGAGGTTTTCACGTCAAAGGGTATGAAGATGGCTGTCTTGGGGGTCGTACAGCCACGCAGTAGTAGACACTGACCGACGTTTCATAGGTCCATGGTATCTCCATGTCAGGGACATCTTCGTACACACCGCCGTGAGAAACCTCAAATCCCACAAAGTGTCACTCTCTACGTTCCTCGAAATGAGGATTCTTTAAGTCGTTCGAGACAGGCGCTGGTCACTACTACTATAACCGACACTCAGCCTCTTTAGCCTTTAAAAAGTATCCTCACATTTCAGTCAATACCTGGATAAACACCTCTGTATATTAATTCTGATTCTAATTTCCTGAAATATTCTGACATACTGGTGCCATCGGCGCAGTTTCTGCTCATAGCAATATTCAGCCCTGAAGATGCAGACAGGATGTTCTACCGAAAAGTTTGGTATCCGTTTGCAAGTATATGTTATTACAACCATAAAGACCAACATCGATATTTCAATGCAGTGAAAACTTCAAATTTTATAAAAATAATAATATTATTATATTATTATATAATTTAGTGACTGGTGTGGCCTAAGAAAACATAGTTGTTTACGGTTGCTGTTTTTATAGTTTTATACAAGGGTCCGTAAGTGAAATGGAGGAACATCTGCATAAATCAGTGATTTTGACGTTGTTTCGCACTGAAGATGATTCAGCAAGTGATGTTCGTGATTCTAGGTTGTGGTGAGCGTAATGATGGCAGCAGGATTGTGGGTGGAAAGCCCACAGAGATGAATGAATTCCCATGGATGGCCCGTCTGTCGTATTTCAATCGATTCTACTGCGGTGGCATGCTCATCAATGACAGATACGTTCTTACAGCTGCACACTGCGTCAAAGGGTAGGACCTGTCTTGTTATGAACCTGATCGAAGAAAATTTTCTACTGATTTTCAAGATCATTACCTTATATTTTATTGAATGAGTTCGTTAGACAATCAAACACGCGCATGTTAAACAGTCTGTGCCTAATAAGTCTGTCAGCAACATAGTCATTATGTTTGCACTTCGCTTCAAACTCCAAATTCGACTGCCGACTATAAGTAATTATATCGTTTTCAATTTCGATCCAAGCTGATGTCTGTAGAGCGTTGATTGTAAAGGCCACGTGTACCAGCTGCTATAATTTCCTGTTAGGTTCTAAGAAGTCAAACAATCGGACGGTTGAAAAGATAGTGAGTGTAAGTGATAAACATTGATTATTTTATTCCAATAAAAATTGAGTTGTTAAGGAATATTTTTCATGAAACACGTTTTGTACTTACCTTCTATGTTATTTTCATAAGGTACATTTTTAAAACCTTTTGTTACTGTAATAATATTAATAACAGAACTGTCCAATTATCGCTCGGTATCCTCGTGGACCCGCTGTGTCCCTTGCAACAGTATGATCGTAGAGTTTTACGCTGCTCTGTCGGCGGATAGTAAACTTTACAATGCTGTTGATTGTTCCAACAGGTTCATGTGGTTCATGATCAAGGTGACGTTCGGCGAACACGACCGATGTAACGACACCCGGAAGCCGGAGAGCCGGTTCGTACTGCGTGCTATAACCGGTGACTTCAGCTTCATGAACTTCGACCATGACATCGCCCTACTGAGACTAAACGACAAGGTGCCTATCAGTGACAAGATCCGACCTATCTGCCTGCCAAACAACACAGGTGAATTCCTAATAGGGCGACCCCATGAAGTAGGAAAATTAACCTCGTTCCTGTCTGCATCAGGCTGACCGACCACTCATCCAGTAGAGCGAACTTTTAACATAGGCTGTACGAATTGCTTGGAGGAAGCACACATTGAATCATGACACGATTTGTGTTGAAGAACCACCGAATGGAACGGGTGTTCCTTAATTCGGTGATTATTTTAATACGACAAAATTATGCTTCGTCAGCTGAGCCGTTAATCATTATTGGGGAGCAGCACGCATTATAGTTAGACCCCGTTAGAGCGCCACTCTATTACCTATGTCAGTATTGGCGTTACATTGAAGGTAATGGAAAATTAAAACTCGTTTTTATACTCAGAATATCTCTGATGGATAAATCCCCATAAAATAGAGAAATACTTGGCAATATTATGCTGGCTTGAGTTTACCTGCCGTTATTGTTGGCAACAAATAGACGCGATGGCACTGAACGAAACGTGAAATGTGCTTCAATGACCTATTTTATATAAGTGAGGAAAGGCAGAAAACAAAACTGAGAGAAAATCTGCCAAACAAATAAATTTTAAGATGGCTGTCTTCTGGATTGTTGTGCCGTGCAGTCTGTTAGATGTTGACTGACGTTTCTAAACGTCAGTGAACTACCAGACTACACGGCGCTACAACCCAGAAGACAGCCAGCCATTTTCATACACGCTGCCGTGAGAACCTAATATCTCACAAATAAATTCGAATATGTAGATCACTCAGTAACAATATAGTGCACATGTATAGCATAGATTTATGACTTCTAATTTAGATAATTTATGTATTACATACAAGTGCGTTGTTAAACGTAAACATGTTTGAAGAGAAACATTCTTCTGGTCACTGCGAATTCCGTTACAAGCAGGTTTTACTGTAGTATATATATATATGCCTTCTAAATTTCAGTGTTCTTTCCTCTACACCCTGCAATTATTCTAGACCACTTTCAAAATTCCAGCATGAAAAATTAAAACTAAATAAATATGAAACAACATTGGAACTTCCTTCCGAACCGTGAAACTATTGCCACAGTCGTCTTTTATCTCGGAGTAGTCGGCAACGAACGTTCTAAATGGTTAGAATCGGGATCACAGATGGCGAGAGCGGCTTTCACAGGTCATTAAATGCGCGTCGTTGCTAGTTACCGCTAACAACAGCTACTTGTTGCAGTTAATTAGACACAAGCCTTTTCCAGATACGACAGATTATTGGAGAGATTTATACAAAAGCCACGTTTGTTGGGGATGTGAAAATTTTTTGTCTACCCCAAAGAAGGGGATGTACAAACAGAAGGGACAAGCGTGGACATAATTATCGGAAAAAAACATTTATTTTCATATAATTTTAAAATTGTTGATCCCCAGCCTGATTTTTCAAGGAAGCGATTTATGATGCTATGAAATTTGTAAACCATTGCTCTGGAAACACTTAAAATAAAAGTTCCAAAAGCGTTTTGTTTCCATCCAGTTACGTGTGTATATGGATTAACTCATTTTATGCAATTATAAATATTTGTTTGCAAGCAAACAAACATATTTATTCAGTACGTTATTAATTAAGTCTATTTCTTACCAAGATTTCTGACACTTACCGGTACGATACGCCAACACCTCCTTCTGTAAAACACACAAAACAATTAAATGTTAATTGGTAAAAAGAGGTATTAACGAATATAAAGTAATAATAAATTCTTTATTGTTTCGGAGTATATGTAACGATTTATCTCTAGATACTCTTTTCATATCTACCTTGCTTTCTAAAAAATTTCTTTTTATCATACAAATCTTTATTTATTCTTCGTGAATTCATTCATTCAGATATGAGGTGATTAATTTATCTCATTACCAACTTAATCAATAGTTCATATTTTAAATAATTTTCTTCGTATGCTTATTGAATTATTAACAGAGTTATATTTATTTTAATTGAGTAATTTATTCGATCTAGTTATTTACTTATTTATTTGTGAATGTATAAATTTATTTTTTATTTATTTACGTCTAAATCTCATCTGAAACAGCAAAACCAATCTTGTATCGAGAGACTGTTTTTAGTGTTGTGGCAACTATGAAAGTCTCACATTGGAATGGGAGAAAATTGTTAGAGCACATCTAATACAGCAATGTCCAATATCCAACCACAGATGCGCTTTATGAGGGCGTGAAGGCGATAGCAAGTGGCTGGGGCACGATTAAAGAAGAAGGAAAACCTTCCTGTATCCTGCAGCAAGTGGAGGTCCCCGTCATGAGCAATCAAGACTGTCGGAAGAACACCAAGTACAACGAGAAGATGATCTCCGACAACATGCTCTGCGCGGGCTATCCGGAAGGAAAGAAGGATTCTTGTCAAGTACGTTCGGCGACCCAATCACAAACAACAGTAACCACCTAAATTACAGATGTTATGTCTACTATCCTACTTTAATGTCTCTCTCTATGAAAATAACGGAGTCACTATTATTTTTATCTTATGAACAAATATTGTCAGACTATTAATATCTAATATCTCTTATCATCCAAATTGTGTGCGTCAAGATCTCATCAAAATTGTACTCCGGTGCAACACGAACAGTGAAGCCTAGGGAAATGAAGACTGCTCAAAAATTGCAGTGTAGCAAAGCTCGTAACACTGTACTTGTGACTCAGAGCCGACCGTAAGGGTTGGAGTGGTGGTTAAATCTTTCCGCGGCCTTCAGCATGCAATTTGGTGGTGGTCACTGTAATATCAAAGCCTGCCATGACGCCTATGGTCCATCCTGCTGTCTCCTCCTCAGCCTTAAGAGTAAATGTTTCCTTACCAAAGTTCTGTATAAACTTTTTGTATTGTCTGTTCTAGTCACGAGATCAATACACCATACAGCCTCCTACATTTTATGAAGTTCTCATTATATGAAATGCAGATTGTGTGGCTTAGCTATTTTACAATTCTATCAAGTAATTAATGTGACACCAACACACGTAAATTCCGATCGTGTTCAGGTCTTATCTGATTCAGCTGCATTGTACTGTCAGCCATCTCCCTTACCGTTAGCTCGAGGATTGAAAAACAGTGCGATTGTATGCAAAACAGAAACATTAGTCTTTAAGTAGGACAGTAAACAGTCAAACGAAATGTAAGTATAACAGAATTTCAGGTGACCTAGAAGAAATTCTACATTACAAACTTCAGTCATCCTTAACTTGACTCTCTTGCTTTGCTGTTCCACAGACGTTAAACGTGCAGACTGCAAAAAGTGATTTTGGATATTTTCATTGGTCAGCTTCACGCTCTGACATTATTATTTGTGTTATACTGAGTATAACAGTGAAGGCAGTTCTAAATAAACGTGTAACACCTACCATCCACGATACTGTAGCAACGTATCACACGTTGGATCATTGTAGGTCACATTCTATTCGTAGAATTAACATGTATTGTGTCTATGTTTACGGATTTATGCCGGGCGCCATTAAAATTTCACAGACTACTTCTGGGCGAAGTCTTAAATAGCCTTAAGTGTCTTCGACCGTAAGCAACCTGAACGACCTCTTCCATGTGGGGCAACACTAGTTTGCTGGTGGTTGCGTTGTGGAAACAAAGGGTTTGTCAGAGGCCCAGTGCCACAGAGACAAGTCTGACCCCATCGCAATAATAACAATATTGTGGGAATAGTCGTAAACTATAAACAAATTAACATTTCTGTGCTATGTCAATGGTGTTTCATTTCTTTATTTCGTAGGGTGACAGTGGAGGACCTTTGGCAACTGAACGCGAGGATAAAAAATTCGAACTCATTGGTAAGTAAAAGAACGTCACTCCCTGGCAGGAACCTATGAGGAACTTCACGATCTACACAAATTTTTAGCTTTACTAAGGTATTATTCACTATTATTCACTACCCACATAGTTTACGACACAGTTGGCCTTTATGTAAAGAACGTAGATTGAATCCACTGGAAACAAATTTCTGTAGAGAATATCTAGTCCCAAAAATTATGACCAACCAGAAGGCTCGTTACCGTGTTTATAGGACCTGGACCTATCTTGAGTCAGCTGAATCCATCCACATCCTGACGTGCTACTTCCTAAGAATCACATTAATATTATCCTCCCTTCTACACTTCGTCTCCTAAATGGTTTTTTCCCCTTCTGGTTTCTTCGAAAACATTTTAGACGAATTAAATCTCTGAAAGTATAAATGGTACAGTCATGTTATAAAGTATGGTAACAGGCAGCACAGACGGCGTTTATGAACACAGAGATATAGTTGGTCGTCCTGTTTTGCTTCAGGTATCGTGTCATGGGGAAATGGCTGCGCTAGGCCCGGGTATCCTGGTGTCTACACCCGCGTGACACGGTACGTGGCATGGATAAAGGAGAATTCCAGGGATGGATGTTACTGCCAAGACTGATCACCATTCTGCTGCTTCTGTTTTGTGGAACCATGACAAAAACACTGCCACGACTCAAGATGTAGAGAAATACTATTGGAAAGACCAAAGCTGAAGATGTAAAGCCATGTAAACAGATATTATTACCGGACGTGCTGAGATTATATTATGTTGCTACATAAATTATTTCATGAGATAAAAAATGGTTGCGTTAAGTATTTCTGAGCTTCACCACTTCCCAGTTTTCGAATTGTGTATTTGTCTTCAGATATCGATGATTAAATCCTATAGCCTCTTCGAATTCAGAACTCCTTTGAAACAGCACGTCCTTAACAGCTCGAAGAATCGCATAAGCACAATACGACACATCATGGGCACACATCCATGTTCTTAGCGGAGAACACGCTGACACAACAAGAACACAAAGGTGAATCTGTCACTGGTACTTACTAATTTTGAGCGCCACGTCTTGAAGACGTATGGAGGAATGGGGGTATAGACCCAGTCCTGCATACAAGAAATAAATAAAATGCCAGTGGCTTTTATGTGTTATTAAAATAACATATCAACTCATGTAGACAAAAACCAAGAAAAGAGGGACACGTTGCTGATGATACAGAATTTAGCTGTGCAGCTGCTTAGTTCAGTCTCGGTTATGAGACTGCATATTACGACAACGTGGTCTTCCTCAGTCCTTTAAGTCCACGACCCTTTGAAACTCAGCGTCCAAAATCGTTTCACTTTTGTTTTTTCAGTTGATATAACGTTGTTATTTTTAAATCAAGAGCCAATTTATATAAACGTTTAATAATAATGGCCTTGACTCCATCGTTAGAGACGTTTCAGATTTACCACTTACGTTCAATGAATACCTATTAATGCTCTAAAAATATGAGACATCCGTCATTTTGCGTCCTATATTCCAGACGAAAACAAAAATATTTATGATGAAATATTAGGGTGGTCTGTATGTAACAGGTGCAATATACTGACTTGTAAAATACTACTGCATGAAATGATGGCATGTGGGTAAGGTTACAGCAACTTAGTCTGCGGTTACATAATTAGCGCCGAAACCACACCGCGCGGTATCTCTTACGAACGACAACCCGCAGCTTGGCATAAAAACATGCAACAGCAGGGAGAGCGGTTGCAAAACTTCAGCAAATAAAGTAAAAGCCACGGGTAACAACAGAAAATAACTTTAATAATTTCCCTTAACATAGACCACAGAATTTTAACACGAGTTCAGAAAGTTTCACAGGTTAGCTTAGTCTCACCCCATAAATCCACATCCATTTGGCTCGCCTATCTTCCCTCCCGAATGAATACATGAAACCACTTTCTTGTTATAGAATTCATTCATCGTCGGTTGAATGTTATTTTAAAAATTCTTCAAATGCGGAATGTTAGGAAGTGCGGATACTCCAAGCATAAAAGATAGGCGTCTACTCTGTGCGATGTCATCGCCAAGTAATAACTGCAGAAGGTTCATTCTTTCATTTTACTAGGTTCTTAGCTTTACAAACATGGCATTGTGAGAATATCTGCTGCAGAAGTAATGCACGCTTCTTCGTTGTACGATCCTGAACGCCCTCGTATTACAACGAATTTAGTTGGAAGTATTTAAATGTGTTAAAATAATTCACGTTTACATCGAAAAACAATAATATTTTGACATCGTGAAATATAAAGATTTGTTGGAAAATATCATAAACACTTTTAGTATTGCTATGTTATTCCCTTTACGTTTCTAAGTATGTGAGTGTTGTGAAACTATGGAAAATGACAAAAGTAACACAAGAAAAAGAAGTGGCTACATAATTAATCAACACAAAATTAGTATATATAAATTAAATTGTGGTGTTACTTTTGGGCAGCCCTGCATAAATACAATATGTGATTAACCACTGCATATAAGGGGTTGGGGATTTTACATACAATCTTTTCCAATTTAAATATTACAAATGCGTTGACGAACCTTCCGCGGTAATGTATACAAAAGTAATATCAAGATAGGTCTCTTGTTGAATCAGCATAACTGTTTTGTTTTGGATCAACTAGATGCTTTAATCAGAAAGCAGGTCAAACTTTCAGTGAGCCACATTTCCATGCCGTCATATCACGCCCACTAATAACGCCCCATTTGAGTGCTAAGCTGAAAGGATACGGGTTTGTCCTAAAATATGCTTATTGCTGTGTCAACTGCTCAGTACTGGCCATTTTCCACAGGTTTTAGCAATGTTTCTTGCATTACACCCCGGTCGTCTAGTTACAACACAAGATTCATATGCCAAGCCTTCTGAGTGTTCATCAAAGTGTCTGTCACTGTACACAAAATATAAAACCCAGTTCTTTATAAAACAGTAACGAATGTTACACAGACGACAATATTAAAATGACGCAATTTTAAACAGTTTTGTGGAGTTATAACACGGGAATTAGTAGGAAAAAGCCAAAAACTAATAATTTCATTCAAATTCTAACAACTTAAAAAATAACTCTGTTTTTGAATGGTTTCTGGTGTTGTAATTAAACAAAGAACTAATTAGAAGAAGAAAGATGGCAGGAATGTTTCTTCAGAAACGCCACTGGGTACAGAACGGTGGATTAAAAAAGTAATGAATATATTAGAAATAAATTTGTCAAAGGCACATAAAGGTACACCACAAAATATCGCCGCACGAAAGGGGGGTACGAAACCATACACAGCCATAAATATATACGTAAAAATAAATACTTTCCTTATAGGAACATAGGTATACGAAAATAAAACATTTCACTTGTAGGATAAGACAATCGATGATAAACTAGTGTGTGTATTGCAAATTGCAATTACGAAAGATTAAACATTATATTCTAACTTCAACGTGCGAATATGCAATTTCTTTAAAAAGAATTCGAAGCGCAACTGAAACGGTGTGGCGTCACACCGGCTGTGGAACACTGCTGGAACTATCTAGAGCACTGGCCTAGAGAAACTCGAAAGAAAATTCGAAAAATCCGGTCCCTGACTAGGATATAAACCGGGCACCTCCCACATGAGAACGAAACGCGCTGCAGCTAATAATACCCGCTTGTTTTCCTTGTCAGCAACCTCTTACACCTACATACCTGCATAAATGTAACTACAATCAAACGAGTCCCATAACATATTTCGTTGAGCTACGTAATACAAACAAATCCTAAGAAATAACCTCACGCACGCAGGAAATGGGAACACAAGAAAAATTGAACTTTCAGGTCGGACAATTAAGAATAACTGAAATTATTCCGCTAAATACTTCTGACAGCGCGTTATATGAAGCATTCGTGCCAGTATAGACACGTCTGTGTTCGGAAATAATGGACCACAACGGTTACGTTTAGCTATGTAGTACAGCGCCTTCCTTGCCTCTGGAGTTACCAAGTTCGAGTCTCGGTCGTGAGACCAGGTGGTCTTGTCTGATTTGCTCGTCGATTTCCCTCAGCCCCACAGGAAAATTCCTGAACTGCATGCATGGTTGCTTTGTATCACCGTACAGAAACGTCAGATCACAACTGAGGCAATGCGGCGCTGGAACAGAGCGTCTGACCGAAACATCAGATTGTAACATCTGGACACTCGGAAAACGCCCGAAAATGTTACGAAGATCGACGTCGTACCATCAACGACTTGTGCGACCTTGTTGGGATAGGCTATGGGACCTGTCAGCTGATTCTAAAGGAAGAACTCTACATGCGACGCATCATGACAACGCGCCAGCGCACACCGCCCTCAAAGTTCGGCAGTTTTTGGCCTCAAACACCATGGCCGTCATCCCGCACCCTCCTTATTCGCCGTGTGACTTCTTCCCCTTCCCAAAGCTGAAACTTCAGCTAAAGGGAAGGAGATTTGAGACGATAGAAGAGATTCAGGCAGAATCGCAGATGGTGCTTGACAGGCTGACAAAGAAAGATTTCCAGGGATGCTTCCAGGTTTGGCAGCGGCGCTGGGATCGTTGTGTTCACTCCCAGGGGAACTACTTCGAGGGTGATGGATGAATTTATTACCTGAGATAAATGTACGGGTTTTTATACGCGCAGTCTTGAAACTTTCCGATCGCACCTCGTACGTCTAATGTCGTAGTTTGGTACTATGAAATAAGAAGACCTGACAGGAAGACGTGAGACAAACCATGCAAAAACAAGATTCAACACAGAGACGACATAATATCGCGGTTGAGTGGTTAACAAATCTTTTTCTTATTCTGAAGGTCCTAGATTCGATCCTTTACTAGAAGGCAGATGTTCGGAGAGATTTTACTGTTTTTCCACAGTTTTTTCTAGGAAGATATTGGAACAATGCCTTAAAATAGGGTAAACCAACATCTTCCACGTAATTTCCTACTTAACTTTCACATTTATCACACACGCTCTCACATACCTATAAATCACATGTGTTTTATATTTCTTGATTCATGAGATAAATTAGTAAGTATGAATCACTGAAATGTCACGGGATTTTCTTCCGCGTATATTACCTGAGAAGTTTGCACCAATCTGTTTTTTTGTGAAACGCCAACTTAAGCTCTGACAATCAGCAAAACAATTATGAGATTATGGCGATGACCTCTATTGCTTCTAAATGTAAGCTGAAGAGTGCATTCAGCAAGCAGTCAGTCTGCTTCAGGAAGCAGGTCGATCATGATGGTTACCAGCAAGACGAGCTTGGCGTTGGCTGTGGCTCTCTACTTGCTACATTCTTCACAAGCTATGGACTCCAACGTGAGTACACTTACTTCAGTTCTACACATATCGGCCTTAATTTGCCAACTTTTCAGGTACGGAATGCATTTATTCGTTTATTAATTAAAATACCTTGGTGGACTGAGGGTGTTTGATAACACGGCGCCAAGGAGAATATTTGGACCTAGGATGAAAGAATCAACAGGAAGACGAAGAAAATTGTATAATGAGGAGATTCATAATTGGTATTCTTCGGTGAGCATTAGGTTGATAAAATCAAGAAGGGTAAGTTAGACAGGATACAATTTAACGTTCGTTTTAAGTGTTCTGTGACTTTTTCATGGTCAACGTGATATTTCAATATGCATTGGTGACACAATTAGAAATAGAAAGACATCGAATTGCTACAAGAAGTACAAGTAACATTAATAACATTTCTGTTGCCTTATTTGTTAAAACAAATTCTTTTCTAGAATGGGAATTGTTGAACGAACTAAAATAGGATAACAACGCAGAGTCACATTTCGCAGAAAAAAGATATAGTCCATGTTAGGTAAAATTTGAAAAGAAAACGTATCTGAACATTAGAAGATGAAGTAGTGCCCCAAACAAGTTTCGTTATCCCAACAATATTCAGTGGAAAACTGATAATGCGTGGAATAAATAAATTAAGGTAATTTATTATTAATCGTTTACTCGACGCTGTTTTAAACGAAATAATCATAGTACGTCAAATTATGTAATTGGAAAAAAAGCCGCGTGGACTTCCGTAAATAACTATCTCGCAATTTGCCTGGAGACAATTAAGAACAAAGGAACAAAATTTACAATGGTGATACTGTATATAATGTGGCCTTATGTGATATACTTAACAGCTCACGATAATTAAGGGCCCATCTCTTTTATTTGTATTTTGGAAGAAAAACGCTTCAGATACCTGGAACAAGAAAGAAAAATCCCATTTTTATGCATTTTATATGAAGTGGCTCGATTATTTAGAATTTCCTTAAAAATTAAAAAAATCTTACTGAATTATATCAATATTAAAGCAATACTGATGATAATTTAAATATTACAAACATAGTAATATGGGCCTCTAACATAAAACTTATTTTTAAGGTTCGTTACACGCTTAGACCTATTTTGCAGTACGTATACCGAATGCTACTGCAATGGAGAGAAATACAAAGTGTCTTACATTAGGCCTATTATGCACAAATACCCTATAATCCTCTCATGTATACGTAAACTTACAGGCTATAAAATGTATATATTTTCCCTGATTTCCAGGGTGAGGGGAAAGGATTGTTTTCCTTCTTCTTTGGAAAACCGAGAACGTGCAACTGCCGTGAGTATTCCACGCCAGGAGATGCAATTACTGCAAGGCTAGTCAAATGCAAGGCAGCCGGCTTTTCTCACGTGTTACTATGTTAATATTAAAATTATGGGACGTGTGGTTCTTTGAAGTATTTATTTCCAATTCTGCATACAGGACTCATCTTATCATTCGACGCTAATATGTGCTATTGACAACATCGTAAAACAGACCATAAATATAGTAAAATGTAAATCTTGGTCCAGGTGATATAAAGAAGCTTCAACCAAATGTCTCGACTTAAATACATTACTTAAGCACAGTGTTTGGGTCTCATTTCAGACCTATAGTATTGATCTCAATTAATTCAGAATAACTGTTTCCGTGAAATTTAAATCTGTGTTGATTTGCATTGTGTATGCTACAAAATCTTTCATTAGACGAACACAGTCGTGTTATTTACAATGTCATCCGCAGATGCCCTTAATTGTGCCTATCTCACGTGTGATGGTATTTGTGCCAAGCAGGCTTGATTTCACCTCTTGAGGTAAGGGCTCTCAATATTTTTCAACTGGTGTGCAGTTACATTTTGAATTAAAATGAGTTTCTATACATTTAACAATAATTCACAAAGTGTGGAAATAACAGTGAGATATTTCTGAACCGTGTTTTTCCATAACGTCGACCTTGTTTCTATACCAATATTTTCCATATTTTAAGCATTTAGGTATCTTATAAATTAGTTATTAATCTTTGTCAACTTTATCAGTTATTTCCTGACCGTTACACGGTATATTATTAACTTTTTTAATTGTAGGCCAGGTAAATGTAAAATGTCCCTGATGCTTCACTAAGCGATAAGCCGCCACATGGTAAAAGTTGGATAATGAGAAAAAGTTATTTTGGTTATTCGCAGTTTGCGGACGACCGAACCGTGTAACTGCTCGTCTGCAGGGTGGAGATTTCTCCCAGACTCATGAGTTTCCTTGGCTGGCGGCCATTATTCTCAACGGGACGGGTGTTTCCAGTGGGGCGCTCATCAATGATCGATATATCATTACAGCTAATGGACCACTGGCTGGGTAAGTGACTGCAATACGACATAAGCTAGTATCTTCCGCGACTTGCAGATACAGTACAATTAAGTTATTTCGACCGTCATATTACATCCAAAGTGACATGATAATTGACCACCTTTGTTGTCATTGATATTTATAATAAGAATATTACACAATAGAAACAAATTTACAAAAAACTTTCGGCTCAATGAGACATAAAAGGAAACGTCTCTTATGAGAGCTCACATATGAAGCTGTCGATCGCTTATATTAAGTTAGCTTATAGGCAAAAATCCTGTTGTGATTTTTTCGACGAAGTTAAAATCTTAACGACACGCTCAGCAAAGTGACAGGCCATTATATTTTGAAATTTAAATTATTTACGTAAGTGCAAATGGGAACACGGAAGTCAGAAAGACGTGCTTATGTTATCAGTCAAGAGAGCAAATCTGTCTTAAATGCCTTAATCACGACGGATATTCAACTGAAATGGTTATTTTAAAGGTTTACTATACTATTACAGGCACCGTATATAGGGCACCCTTAAGAAGGATGTGTGATGTTCTAGCGTTGCATATTAACTGCCTCGTATTCTAGAGGCCCCACATTCAATGCTGGTTCCTGAGGATTCCTATATTGGCCGAAGTATTGCGCAGTTTTTCTCCCTCCCTACAAGCGAATTATGGGACATTCCCTTAAAACAGTGGGCAATCGGGTGCCTTCCACATGGTCCCATGACCTGACATAATCGGCTCCATTGCGACGGTGTTTAATTTCGCTCTGTGAGACTACGTCCAATACAATTAAATTATGTTTATATAAATTTCTGCATTAATTTACGCTTTCTTAAAAAAATATGTTATTTTTTATAAAAATGATAATGTAATTTCTTTTTCAGGTTAACTCCATATCAGGTGAAAGTGACACTTGGTGCATATGACCGATGTCGGGTGGACATCTCTTCTGTCAATGATAGCGTATCCAACATCATCGTTCTGCCCAACTACGATGCGCGCAGAGGGGACCATGATATAGCTCTTCTAGAGTTGACTAATCCTGTTACCTTTAATCAGAACATCAATCCAATTTGTCTCCCGGATGCTAGTAAGATACAGCGTCTCTTACGTTAATCTACTGTTCTTTCTACTTCCACCGATACTATTATTAATACTGATAAACTATTACTAACATTAACACACAAGTACTATTATGACTGATAAACAGCTATTCTACCACCACTACTACAGCTGAAAAACTGATTACTTACTAAAACTCATTACAAGCACCGGTAATAATAGGCCTATTACTACTACTATTTTTATAATTACCGCTACTTATGCCAGCATCATTACTACGGATGTACTATTACGACAACAATGTATATAAATATTTCAATCCGATCCCAGAGGCGGTGCGAGACTTCCAGTCACGTCCTGAGAATTAATAATATCTATTCACCATTGCCCACCAATTTCCTAACGAAACTAAACTCTTTTTACATAGAAACCAAGTGTTAGGTCAGAGATGACGCCCCTTATTGGATGGCTACTTTCTTAGGGCATTCCTCCACTTTGTAGGGCGGTGATAGAATGAGTGTGGAGTAATGACAGGATATAGTTAGCAGAGCAAAACGTAATAATTCAGAAAAAACCTGCTCCACTGCGACTTTGACCACCATGAAATTCACTTGAAGTCAGGATTTAACCCTGGTCTCCACAGTGAGAAGCCAGCGTCTAATCGCCTGATCTATGGCATGAACCGTCAATCCGCTCATCGCCTGAAAGCCCCGCAATGGGGAAACTATCATCGGTTCCTTGATATTAGTTACTGCCAGCTTAATTTTATCAACAGATTTACACCTTAAGATTGAGCTCAAAGGTGGCGAGTTTGTGTAAAACATGTCAAAACGACTAACGCTTTGCCCTAATTTCGTGGTTCAGTGGTATTCCATGCACTGCAACACAGCAAACCGATCAGATAAAATGCATCGTCAGCCATCTTCAGCCAGCCAGCCAGAAGTCGTTATCCATCAAGGTGAGGCTACTCCCGGCGAACGTAAGCTTCGACTACCTTGATACCAACGTCTGTCTCGCGCTGGAGCTGGCTAACGATGCATTGAATTTGCTATGCTACAGTGTATGGAGTACCTCTGAACCACTAAAATAAGACGGAAGAATTTCAATTTTTCGTTCTTCAAAGCGTTAGCCAGGCTAACACGATTAACACGAAAGCTCCGCCCCGTTTGTGCCGCACTTTATCACGAGTACAATCATGTAAGATTTTGTCTTACAGATGCGAAGTATTTGGGCCAAGTAGCGACGGTTGTCAGTTGGGGTCAAAATCCCAATTCCACGTCAACTACAACTGAACCAACGGCAGCCAACACTTCTCGGGCCCCTACCACCACCACCACCACCACCACCCCGGGACGAAGACGTAGGAATACAAACAGTGGTAGGCCGCTCATACCTTATTTGCGGCATGCCAAAACTTCTTAAAGTAAAATTCCATTATACTAGTGAATGGAGCACAGATCTCCCAAAAGAGTTACTTTAGATTTTGCCTCCTGTGTGTTTATATTAATTTATGTAATTTATTAAATAAGGTTCAGTTCGGTCTATCCTTCTCCAGTCTGGTTTCTACGCCACTGTAACTGGCTTTATGATCTAAGAAAAATGTATGCCTTTACCGTTACAACAGTCCTGACACTGTCCACTGTGAGATTGTGCATGTTTGACATGAAGTCGATATTGGATTTGGTTCTAACCCGTATTTTCAGGCTATTGGGTCTCATAAGATGAATGACTATTTTGTTGTGTTTAGCATTTTAAGATTAATGGCGACAGTTGCGATAGAACAGAAACATGTGAAGATACTTTGGCCAATCAGGGTTGCGACACAGATTTATATAAATGGAACGCAGCCTTTGAACGATTTCCTGATCAAATTTGTTTGTTATTTTAGGTTATGAAAAGTGGCTCCAAAATGAAGACGATGGTTTCTGGGAAAACTTAAATTCCCGAAAACGAAGACAAGCAACTGTTCCCCCTGACGACGTCTGTCTTCCCAAGAAGCTAGGCCTTCCAGTATTAGGAGAAGGTCGGTGTCCGGATGCCAGCGTCAATTCTCAACAAATATCAGGAGACACAGGCTGTGCTGGAATTAGTGGAGCTCCAAATCAACTTTGCTCTGTAAGTTCACCTCCTTTATAATAGTACAATTATTAATATATTATATATAAAAGAGATACTTGGCACTTAAGGTACGTAAATTGTATTCTAAACAGATTTTAATTCGAATTATGCAATAATATAAAATTATATGATCAGACATATTATCCACATATTTAATATTTTATTTACACTTTGTTTACACATAATTTCAGACTGACGTCGGAGCACCGGTCCAATTCAGAGATCAACGTGGAGTATACCAACTAATCGGTAAGATACAGACTAAAAGTTTCTTCCGAAATTATTAAATTATGACCATCCATTCTTCCTCTCAAAGATTACATGACAATACAATTCATAACATTTTCTGCACGATTAATACGGTTAAAGTTCGTTCAGATATAACGCACCATCTTCAAAGAACTTCACACTTCGTTTAAACACACTACTTACTACGACACAACATAACTAAGTGTGCGCAATATTTTTGCCGTCATGTGTTAAAGAAAAAGGCAACATTGGGGCAAGTTGCTTTTAGTGGTCAGGACTTTATCTTACTCCAAAATATTTACATACTGTTATTGCCGATTTTAGTGTGAGAAATCAAACGAAAGATTCTGTGATACAACTGTGGCTGTTTGAAGTAATAGCGCATGAGATACGATAGTCTATTCTTAACGCCAGACTCACCATCGTTTTTATATTAATATGAATCTGTGTTTCAGGCGTCCTTTCTGCTAACAACGATTGTGTTAATTCAACACTGCCAACTCTCTATACTAGAATCAACAGCTACGTGTCCTGGATACACAACAACACTCCTAATGCCTGTTATTGTTCATCAATATTAAAATTCGGTTTCTAGACAGCGCCTATGGTTCACTTCGTGAAACCTTGGTGAGGTGCTTGAAAGCGGCTGCAATAAGGAACAGCAAAGTTTCTCATGTATGTCGAATTAAGTCCAAGTTGCATGACTTGGTTAAATTATTAATTAGAAATAAATATGTATGCATCTAGTTCCAATGTAAATGGACGTTTCATGTGTTCCTAATTGTGCTTTAAAAATTGTAACATGGAATATCGTGCATGTAATACAGATACTACACAAGAATTATAAATAGCAGATAACAGTACAGCAATAAAAATATAAAATAAAAGGTTTAAATATTTATAAACAATGCCTTGTGTAATTATTTATTTATTTAGTTACAGTTTACTTAACGATGCTGTTACTAGCTCGAAATACACAGCATCGAATGATGGGATCGGATGATTACTTAAAATTTAACTGGAAAGGACATGGGAGGTAGAGGCCGTTGCCAAAATTAATAAATTATCCCAACATTTGCAGGAATACACTGAGAAAAACCACGAAAACTTTCAGGACATCAGGTCTCGGCCCTAGGTTTTTAACCCGGAACTCCCGAATAAGGAACAGGAATCTTAACTACTCGTCCACGACGTTCGGTCGAAACAAAGGATGCCTGAAGACAGATTCCCGATGTTCTGTTAGTATAAACAAAAGGGGCCGACGAATAATTAGAAGAAACAGTTGAAATTCTTGTAACTGGAACAGTTCAGAGCTAGGATATCTCCCTATACAACAGTCACATTTGAATCACATAATAACGTACGATATTTAACTTTCCACATCAGTTTACATAATAATGCGACGTTCTGGATTTCGTCACAGAAACAGGCGCCCGGGTTTTCGTCGCTGCCACACCACAAATCGCATCGATAACGGAGGCACAAACCGATCATGTACGCCCTTCTAGCACCAAATTTAATAGTCTGTGGATAGTATTGCATCCGGCTCCCTAGGGCTACGCTTAGTTACAGTGTACTATGTACCCACCTTTTACGTTATCAAACAATTTATATATATATAAAACTTTAGTTATTATGATTATTTCGAAACAAAACTGTGACGCTAACCCGCATAACCATCACTTGATTAAAATGGGACGTGTTACATAAGGCTGGTTGTACAATAGTCAGAGACGTGATCTGTTTCGCGTCATACTTCGACTTTGACGTTTCTGGAAGCGACTAGAGGACTGGAGATGTATTTGTACGTTATTCCACCTACCGAACTGCCATGAATAATAGTCGGTGGTTGCTCCCGTTCGTCGTTACGTTGCTTATTCTTGGAGATCAGATGCAGAAAATCCAGGTGAGGTATTAACTCTCGAAAACTAAGCAGCATTGATACTCAAGGCCTCGTCCTCAGATTGCAAGATTTATAGCCACTCTTATGAAGTCCGTTTAGTTCAATTATAGGAAAATTAAGGTAAGTTATAACATTCTAATTGACTAATCTTTAAGAATCACTATCCATTTATACTCTGAATTACTATCATATTTGATCATCATTTCATTTAAAATAAATTCTTGAAAATTAAACTTTTAAAATAAACAGTAGTAATCCACAAACAAAAGATGATATTAGTTATCTGAACGACACAACACAGGAAGGAAATGTTAAATCACACTACACCACCCATAGCATTAAGAACAAATCTTCACCTCTCTTCATTTTATGTGCGTTCCGAAGATAATTCTTTTAAAAATACAAGTTTTATTATGTCCGTTCTTTTATCCGCGTAAGACAGGATTCAAGTCACGTAACCAATTTTGGTCAACTCCGAAATGGCCGATTCATTCAAAATTGTGTCCACTTTACTCAAAGAATTAAATCAACGTTTACAAGCACTGCCTCCACATTTTTACGGCTTTTATTAAAATGTTGTACAGACACGCTCTGATTACGCCTACAGTACCAATATTTAATACAGAAGTTTCAATCACACGAAGTTTTTAAATGACGTGGACAAAACTTTCCATTGAATTTTCTCTGCGTTATATGTGTACCACCATCTGCATTCTATTACGCTTGATATCGACGACATCACTCCAGAAAGGCGTATCAACAAAATGACTGATTTACAGAAATCTAAATTCTTACGCTTATTTCGTTTAACATACGTGCACTATTAGTATTCATACGCCAAAACTTAACTGTTTCTATCCCTGTGCAGAACTACATCATCATTACGCTTTTCTGACATTATCCATCCTTCTAGCATGATTCCCTCAGTTTTTTGGCTTCTTAATTAGACTACTGATCAAATTGTGATTGCATTTTATATATGAATTTGGGGAGTTTCGTAATTTTAAAATTAACTACGAGTATGAATCACGTCCACAATAGATTGTTCCCAATATATTTAACATAAATTAGATAAATTACATTAATGCCTTATTATTATAACTAACATAACCTGTTGGTATGTATTTTAAATAATTTTAATTTTAATTTAATATTATACAGCGCTGTATCAATTATTTGATGCTTTGTTCATTTTATCACACCGAGGCCATAACAATAATCTCAAATTCCCCCAAAGGTTCAATCATCCTGTAACAGAAGCAGAGAAGAAGCGAGAATCAAATGTCGAGCTGAAATAAAACTGTGTCCGTCATACAGTGTTCCGCAGTGCCAGCAATGCGGTAAGAAAATTCAGTCTACCAACTTATCACGCATGTTCGTTCTAAGACATTCAACACCGAGATCTCTTAATAACAAGAGCCAGTTTTTCTCTCCTTGTGTTTACTATTTACACACCAACTGTTTATCACACACGTGTCCGTTTGAAGACACTGAGTTATAAATTGTACCCACATTAGTAGTGGTATTACACACACATTGTGAGTGGTTGGTCACGTGGTTATGTAAATTAGCTTTTACACAGGTTATGACCCAATCCCGCCACACAAGAATGGCGTGAATATTTAAAATATGACTTTGGTTAAATTAGTTCTTAATTTAGAGCACCTATAAACCTAGATACATAATTCTCATTTTAATTTAAAACCGTCACAATTATTTATTTGTCCTATTAATTTCAATACATTTATTAAAGAAAGAAAGCTTTGACGTTCATAAAACTAACAACGTCATAACATCAATTAAATAAACCTTCAAAATATGCAGGAATCAGCGCAACAGTTGCCTACTAACACCCCATTAAATTACGATGGCACTGTCAATGTGCGTGGTGAAATACTCTACGGCTCGTCGTGCTAAAATGCGAACATGACTGCCTTCATGATGTTGTGCAGTGCCGGCTGGTTGGGGCTTATCGACTTTTCAGAGGTCCTTGCAGCCTACTTTCATGTGTCCATAAAATGCCCTGTATTACGTTCAATACATATTTATTATATCTTCCATTCCATCTTACATATTCTGCGTATCCATGACGTTATAGCGTTAGGTATGTTCATGCTTCGTCACCACAATCCAGGGTAAAGCAATAATATGACAGCTAATAAATTATTATAAAATCTGACATTGTTTAAATATGAAAGTAACAAAATCAGTTTCCCATACATAACAAAGTTAGAAGCCAGTTAAATTCGAGGAATGCATTTGTGTCATCCATTTCAGAATTATGCTGCATATTATCTTATGTCTTCTATGTGAAACTTGGTCTCTAGTCCTAGGGGAATTACACAGACTGAGATTCGTTCAGAACAGGAAGCTCAGTAGAATATCCGAATGCAAAAGAAGAAATAAACAAGAGACGGGAGAAAATTTCAAGCGCAATAAGAAGCTTCATAGTTTGTATTGTTTACCAAATATCATGGTTGATCAGATCAAACAGGATGACATGGGTAAGGATTAGACAGCAGAGACAAATTTGTCAAACACTTTAGTTTAAGAAACTAAAGGCAAAATATCGCTTCTATATATGGAAGGATAATATTGTAGTAGATATCAAATAAATGAGTGAGATTTTGAAATGGATTAAACTGGCTCGGATTATGATCCAATGCTTTGTATTGAAACCTTTGGGTTTAACGAAATAAAGGGAACTTCCTGAGCAGCCGATCATTTAACAGATTCTGCCCGTGCAGTTAAATCCTGTCAATAGTTAATCCGTTAAGGCATCTGCTTTATTCAAGCCTGTGGGGTACCCAACTTGAACAGCAGTAGACAGCAAGATACGCGCATAGTTGGGGGAGAGACGGCACCCCAAAATGCTTACCCGTGGATGGTTCTCATCACAGGGAACAACACCCCATCTTGTGGTGGCGTTCTTATCAGTGACCAGTACGTTCTGACAGCAGCACATTGTACGACAACCAGGTGAGCAGAGACCGATTGGCTACCACTGCTACATACAACCCACCTTAAAAACTCCTTGCATTCAACTGACTTCACGTTAACGCATCAAGCAATCAATTAATTAATCCATTCATTCTAGCAGACATCCCATTTCTAAGCTAAGGATAATAAAATATAATGTACGACGAAAAATAATTGAATCATGCACGGATATTCGTGGCTGAGATTAGAAATGTATACAAAATTTATCCACATTCACAAACAAATGAAACATAAAGCGTGTTCAAGTAATGATTCTTGAAATTTGTACGGTAACTACTGCAGAAATTGTTGCAAGACTGGGCATTAATACTGCTCGTTCCTTGATCGAACCTCTAGTGCAGCAACCATCTTTATGCCATACTCACGCGGCAAAAATGGACTAGCAGCATATTACGGTCTAACCTTGAGCTATAACATGATCAGGGGCATCAGCATTTTTACCAACCATGCAAAGAAAATATTCCACTATTGTCCCACTTTAATTCCTCTTTGGTCTTTGTACTGTGAGTTAGTGCAAAAGGCTAGGTCTAAAACAATATTTGTCTGTCCTCTTACATTTATATCAAATCGCGTTGTCGTTTCAGGTATCGTCAAGAGGAGCTCAAAGTAATAGTTGGAGAGCACAATTACTGTGAGCCCGACAACAAGATTTCTATTTTCTCAGTCGAGAAGATGGTAGCGCATCCTCAGTTCAACCCCGGTGCTTACGCCTATGACATTATGCTCTTGAAGCTAAATATGAGACTTACCTTCAACGAGGTTGTAAGGCCCATCTGTCTCCCGCGATGGGGTAAGTCCTACGTATGTTCTATCACGTGACACCAAAGCAGGCCTAGTAAGTCAGTGGTATTCAACCTGGGGTAAACGAAGACATCTTAGGGGGGCGTGAAATTTAATATATATATATTATTTTATGATAAAAACTGAATAATCAGTAATGTAATTTATTTAATTTATTTTAGATGTAGATTATATACTATGTATAACTTGAATTATACACCAACAACTTTGGGGGTACAAAGTTAAAGAGAAATTATATCTGGGGGTACGCGAACAGAAAAGGTTTAATACCACTGTACTGAGTTACTCATGCAGGAACACATACAGCTCAACTTGTCAGATGTGACCACTGTAAACACGATGCGCGGTAGATTTGGACGAGTCCAGTAACCGAGATGAACTAAAGGAGATATGGGGTGAGCCCATCTAGAGAGGCCTTGAAAAGTTTCTTATGTGATATTTAAAATCAATAGCAACTAGATGCATATAAAAATATTATATTGCGGTGCATTATGTTTAAATAATCGAGCTAATGCTGACACAGCCTATATGTTACGAACCGATAATTTGAAGTCCACGTTATACTGAGATTATTTCGAAATCAAAATTTTTCTACGAAATAATATTATCCATTGCAACATTATTTTTACCAGACATATATTTATAATTTTATACGCTGTCAATTTAAATGAATCCCAAGAACAGCGCTTTATAAACCTCTAAACCAAAACTCATCTTTTGTGGTTTACTCATAGCATACGCTACTTAATGTAATGAACAATAATACGCTACGTATCCGCCAGTTTTAGGAAACTCTGCGTCAATTCAGCTACCAGAACAAGAAGCGACTGCTCTGGGTTGGGGAATCTTGACATACCACTCACCACAGCGATCGTGCTATCTCCAGGAGGTTAAGCTGTCCATCATCCCCAGGTCGCAATGCCTTATGAAGTCAAGATACACCCCTGATCAGCTACCCTCCACGTTGTTTTGTGCAGGAGTGCCTCAAGGAGGCAAGGACTCCTGCCAGGTCAGCGCTGTTCTTTGATTATTAATCAATTAATCCACATACACATTCGCATCTTCTACGTTCTTTCAACCACAGACCGATTAAGTACATAGGAAATGACCGAATTGTTAACAGGTTATAGAATTCTCCTGAGATCCCTAAACTATTAACTAATTTATGAGATTTGGTTTTTTCGTGACTGTAACTAATTTAATTGAATGGCACGTGTGTCACTTTTCCAGGGAGACAGTGGAGGCCCACTTCAGGTGATAAATAAAGGGGGAAGATATGAAATAATAGGTATGTGAAATCGAAACTCTCATTTGAATGGTATTATGTATTGTTCGAAAAATCTAATTCTTAATCTGACGATATTCGCAATAAATTATACACACAAGAAAGTGCAATGTATTTCAGACGAAAATAAAAATATTATTACTAAATGAAGACAATGGGAATAAAAAAGGCAATTTATAGTCGTATTTATTTTCAGGTATTATTTCAAACGGCATCAGTTGCGCTCACCCACACTACCCTGGAACGTACACTAACGTACCCATGTTTACAGCATGGATCATCGCCAACACCCAGGATTCTGTGTATTGTACCAACTGAAAAATGTTACACTTTGTGGCATCACGTTTATTACAAATAATGAAAGATAAATCTAAATCTGCTTCGTGTTCCTACTGATGAGTAATTTAAGCTTGTGGACATTTATAACAAATATACAATGAACTTTACAAGCAATCTTGTAAATAAATTAAACAATTTATTTTGTATTATTGATTCTATGGAGCGCAGTCCTGGAGAAACTGATATTAGCTCAGTTGTTCAAGATATTCCTAGTCTTTCATAGAACCCAAGCGTCCATCAGTCTTTCTTATCTGTCCCTTTGTATGTTTCTTTGTTTAAATAAAGTTACTAATTTAAAGTTATTGATCTTGATTAAATTTTCTGGGAAGGACACTGAAATGAGAGGCGATTATTTACATAAAATATGTGTATATGCTTACAACGAATCACCTAATATAAATATTCATCCTAGTATTCAAATAAAATATTTAAATTCAGACGCGACAGTATATAGCAACCGAAACGTAAATCAAGAAGACTATATATATATATAATCTGGGTAAATATGTATTCAATAGTAAACTGCTATGATTCAAAACTAGGAATTGGCAGAGGTGAAAAATAAGTAATAAGTAATGCAACACCTTCATCAGGGCAAAAATCTCTCATTATTATTATGGTTTTCCGAGTGGGTCTCAGACTTTTCGGACACAAAGATCTTTGCTCCTGCCGGGGATCAAACAATCGTGCAATCGAAGTCAAATCACTATACTGACTGAGCTACTCCGGTTTTTTTAAGGATATTACATACCTTACAAAATTATAAAGTCGTATGCTCCCATCTAGCAAAAAGAGAAATTTAACTTCCTGTTTGAAAATAAATATAACATTGTATGTAAATAATATGAATAGTCAGGCATTCAATTGCGTAAACTGTCCCATTTTTCCTTTCACTTCTGTTAATGAAATCTATATAAGAAAGTTAATCAAAATATATGGCGTACTTCTGTAAGAAGACGCCAGTGTCTATCATAATTTTGTTGCGAGAGGCGTTATTCATTTAATCGCCATGGATAGAATTTCCTTGCAGAAGCCTGTTAAACCCAACGAAGAAGTTAAAATTAAAATAAAGCAACAGATTGTGTGGAAAAATGCATTAGGACTTTTGCTGATGCACCTTATAGGACTGTACGGGTTACACGTTTCTATTACATTTGCTAAATTGCTGACTTGGATATATGGTAAGCAGAAAACAATTATTTAATATATTTACGTTTATCTAGATTTACGTAGTTACCTCATTTAACGACAATGTTTCAGGTGAAGAATGAGATTGGAAACGTTGCAATTACCCCTCGGGCTGTTTTTCTGCTCCTTGCGAATTACAGACTGCGTCTGTAATTATCCACATGACAATGAAAAATATTTCTCGTTCATAACAAGTCGAAGAAACACAAATAAAAAGGATCGATTTCGAGTTTAGCTCGCATTTACGATGTCTACTAAAAGGACCCGCCTAAGGCAATATGAACTGACAGCTATATAACGACATAGGCCTAAGTAATAGGTGGTCTAAACACATCCTAGAACATGATCAAATTCTGTTTTTGCTCGTAATACAGCTGGTTTATGGTGTTTAATCGAAAGCTATAGTACATGCTCTGACATCAATTTTGTTAAGTCTAAATTATTTAAACAAAGAAGAATATTTATGGAACAGAATTCAAATTGAAAACTTTATAATCCCTCAGTTAATCAATAAATTCCACGTCTTTAATGTCCTAATGTTTATTGCCGTATTCTGAGACAGCTCAATCCCGTCCACATATTTAAACCTATATCTTCAACACTGGTTTTAGTAATATCCTCCTAGTGCCTCTAGACCAGTAATATTTTCATACAGATATTTTTTTCACTCATAATTGTCAAGTTTATGGCAACGTTTCTAAAACCCTCCCGATGAGAAATGGAACCTTAAATGAATAGGACGTAAACCGGACTCCGTCGGCTTAGGATGAAGTCCATCGGTAGGATTTTTAAAGTCAATAATAAATCTTCTTGGTACATAAAAGCTATGAATTTCTCAATCTCCTGTGTAACTATAAGCTTATGAAGAAATATCCTGATCTATGCAGTCAGGTGGGATGTAGCCAGATTAGGGTAAAGGCGGGTTTTTATGAAAACAGTTAAAGACCTTCGTGTTCCTTTGTAGCAGACGATTGATTCTTCCTTTCAAATCCGCCAAACCTTCTTCACATTTGTGGGAATCAATTTGGTCTATTTTTAACCTACAAGCGACTGAACTCAAAACGAAATCTTGTACAACATCTGAATACTTTCATGTTTTGCAGGTTTTATCGTCTTTATTATCTGCGGTGCTGGAATCACAATCGGTGCCCACCGCTGCTTCGCGCATCGATCATTTAAAGCAACATTTGGATTGCGGTGTCTTCTGGTGGCGTTTTTCACCATGACAGGAGAGGTAAGAACTGGCGAGTGAATCACAGCTAATGATTTGATTTGTTTCTGCACTGTAAATACAATGACTCCACAGTTGTTTCGAGAATGTGTCATGGAATAAAACACAGCGATGCAATTCTAAATAATTTGTTAGAGCTAAGATTTCTCAGAGGCAATAATAAATTAATATCAAGGATGTTGAGACTCGCTACGCAAAACACAATTCAATTAAATGAAAAAACATAAAAGTTAACTCTGACGTCACAGTTTACTCTTCACTACTTCTTGACAAAAAGAAAATATTTTGGTTCTTAAGAACAAAAAACGGACAATGTTTTTATATATCTGAAGTAGTTCAGAAAGTTTTGTGATGCGTGATGTATATTTTCGTGTCATGAAAATCGTCCAAACTCGTTGGCCACCTTGCCAATAATTCATAACTGTCCACCTTTTGCGACTCTCGTGCTTTTGCTAGATAAAATTATGCTATTAAACTCAGTACCTCTACACACCTTTGTGAGTTAGAGACAATAAAAGATGCTAATCCTGTAAAAAAAAAGTCAGTTTCTAATCCCGTAGCAGATATTTAAGAAGTTCATAAACGTTATGGCTGTATAACGATAAGCAAAACAGAAAAATGAAATAGAACAAACATATCTTGCTTCCACAAGCCTGTACGAAAATGGAACTAAATGTTCAGTTTTCCGCTAGCAGCTACGGTGTCGGCTAGTACTTCTTTTAAACAGTACGTCGGCGAGAAAAATAGAGCAGAACAAAGAGGTTTGTACTTATAAATGTTTTACATAAAATAATGGGATAAATATTTAAACAAAGAAGAATGTCTCGTTTGTTGTACGCAACATACACTTCAGCTACTTCCGTTTCCCGGGTAAAAAACTAGGGTTATAAGACATAAAATTACCACAAGGGTGAGAATGTCAGTGTTAGCTGCCACCTGAGTTGTAAGACCTAATGAACTTTTAAGTAGATAGAAACGTTTAGGAGGAATCATAGATCTGAATATGGAGGCAGCAGGTTCTTCCGAAACGTAGGTACACGGATTTTAACGTACTGTGAAATTGTAGGCGTGTATCAGTGATTCTGAGGAATATCTTCACGACTGATACTGTACCTACCTAAACGTCCACAAAAACGTAACAACCCAATGAGTGATACCTGTTTTTCGACTTTTCAGCTGAATCCATGGACATATAGTAACAAAGTCACGAGCAAATTGTGTCTATTTTATCTTTCCAGAACAGTCTGTATATTTGGGTGCGCGATCACCGCCAACACCACAAATATTCGGACACGGACGCAGACCCTCACAACGCCAAGAGAGGGTTCTTCTTCTCGCACTGCGGTTGGCTGATGGTACGAAAACACCCGGAGGTTATTGCAAAAGGAAAAACCCTCGACCTCTCTGATCTCGAAGCGGATCCAATTATAATGTTCCAGAAAAAGTAAGTTGCCTAGACGATTATAAGAGACGTCACATGAAATGATACTCCGAAATATCACATAATGCAGTTATCTCCATCCTCTTTCTTCTTCTTCTTCTTCTTCTGTCATATCCAAACATTCTAATCAACATTTTTTCCTCATATACCCTTAACCTACACTCTTCCCTTAGGACGAGAGACCAAATTTAACACCCATATAAAACAACGAATAAAATTATACTTTCGTGTATTTAAAGAGGAAGCTAAGAGAAAAAATATTCTGAAAAATGAGAATGTTCAAGATTCTTATATTGACTAATTTCACCTATGAACTGTCCGAAAATACATACAAACCGAAAGACCGCGTGCAAATCAGATATCTGACTCGTGATAATGTTTCTGTTTAATCACTCCTGTGATCACTGTCTTTAATATACGTCATTATTAACAACTACAAACATAGATATGTTCTGATATGTTATTTACAAGATCTTTTGGTCTCTGACTTTTACACATTCTACGACGTTTTATTTTACAGTTTCATTGCAATAACTTTGTTACATTTAATTACATGTAGAGCATATGTTCTTATTTATTTTATATCTGCGAAGACACGGACGATGCAACATAAAAAACACTAAGACAAGTCATAACATTTTTCATTCCCCAGGATTTTGTACACTTTCTCTGTATATCATAGAGACCAGTAGTTGAATTCGGCCCCTTAGCGTGGAGACCTGAGAACGCACAAAAGTTCAAGAATGTGATTCTTTTCCAGGTATTACTACTTGTTATACGGCGCTATTAACACGTTTATCGTCGCCCTGCCCTATCTACTGTGGGGTGAGTCGGTCCGGGTGTCAATTTTAGGTGTGTTCATTTTACGAAGTGTGGTCGTATACAACATCACATGGCTCGTTAACAGTGCGGCCCACCTCTACGGCACTAGACCCTACAACGGGTAAGAGAAGTTATTTTCAAATTCTCCTCCTCCTCGAGCGATGTAGTGCAGATGAAACATTACTGTCTTGGAGGGTAGGGGGGTTCTGTGATTAGATGAGTTCAGAAAATATGGGGGAAAAACTCTTAAAAATAAATTCATAAATATAAGAATGCCAGATGATTATCTGATCCTCAATAACTGTGCTTTTTTGTTCGTACTACAGCGAAATTCAACCTGTGGAGAGCAGCACTGTATCAATTTTAACGTGTGGAGAAGGCTGGCACAACTTTCATCACACATTTCCGTCAGATTATCGTGCGTCAGAGTACGGACATAAACACGATTTGTCTTCAAGAGTAATACAACTAATGGAAAAAAGAGGCTGGGCGTATAATCTCAAAGAAACTCCCCAACATTTGGTGAACAAATGGGTGAAGAAATTCGGCGATGGCAGTCACATGTTGAGCTGTGAGTGGAAAGAGGATTCATCTGACGACGCGGAGACACAATTAAGCACCAAGAAGGTTTTAAATTGTAGAGAAGAAATTATAAGAAGCGACATGCGTGCATATAACAACGTAGTTAAAGCAACGAATGAAAATATTGCCGCACGAAGACTGAACACTTCAAATACATGAATTACACAGACAAGACTCTGAAAAAATTCTGGTGTATCAACAATAAAACATGTAGGAATGTCGGCTCTTTTTACACTAGTCCCTAGTTTACCCTGAAAATCAAACACAGTATGATGTTATATGAATTAAAATATCGTTTACTCTGGCATAGCATAGGCTACTGCAAAACATTTTCTGTTGTGAAGTGTGGTACATACGACTTTAGAATCTGAAGTAGAACTCAGTCTGTAATCCCATTATATTTTTAAATTAACAACTTAAAAATCATAAGCATAGCGTAATAATTCTGGTGCGTTCGTCAGAACCTGCCGTTGTATCTTTAACCATGGTAAGTATAATAACCACGGTAATCAAGGAAGCCTCGTGATTCCCCACCCAGTCATTTCCGCGAGAGCAAACTCGTGAATGTCTTCATGGAATGTGGCCGATTTTAAGCACAATTTTAATACGTCTACAAATTTTGGCACAACTCCAAGATATCAAATATCTGAAAAATCCGATCAGTCGTTCTCGAGTTTCATGCGCGTGGACAGACAGACGGACAAGGGAACACTGCTTAGTATACAAGTTATTTATATAAGAAACACTGTATCATGTGAGAAGAAATTTGTTCTCATTATCAGTCTGAGACACTGCATTGTCTTAATTTTAGAGGTCTCTACTTGTATGTTATTTGCATATATCGGTTTTCATTAATATTACAACGCAATTAAATTTTTTTCACAAGTACTAATAATAAACATCTGCATTAACTTTTCTGCAAGAATCTTTAGCATAGCATTTTATAATAATAACTACATTTCAAGTTTTGTACTTTTTTTTAAAACAAGTAAACTAACTTACAATTATTTTCAAATACATGCTAACATAAATTAACTTGGTCTTTTTATTCCAATAATATTAATAAATGCGTCTTCTTTGGTTAGAAAATATGAACATCCAAAGCGTGAAGCAAAAATCTTATTACCCATTGTAAAATTCTCATATCTTTGCATCGGCTTTGCGATCAACGTCCACCGCTGTTTGGTTGCTCCATCTGTTTTACATAAAGTCATCACTATGAGGCTGCATCGTGGAAAATAAACCAACGAAGATGTGTGTAATTTCACATCCTTTTGATATTAGAATATGAATTTAATTTATCAGAAAGAATAACTGGACACAAATAACAGAAACAAATTGCATGCTTCAACGTCATGGAAGGACTTCTCCCTCTCCCCCCCCCCCCCCCCCCCCCCTTGCGCTGCTCTAGTCACTGGTACAGCGTCGCTGGCTTTGCTACGCTGCGAGTTCTAAACTGTCTTCGCTCGCCTGGGTTCCGCTGTTTGTCTTCTGGGTTTTTTGCTCCGTGCAGTGCAATAGAAGTCCACTGACACTTCAGAGGTGTTTGATGCCATCATCATCAGGGCGATATGAAATGCCGGTAAGCTTCTATTTCACTGCACGGAGCAATAACCCAGAATACAGCCATAATTAAATATTGCCCTTGTTATACAACACAGTGGAACCTCGATATAACGCGGGTTTCGGCGGACAGGTTCAGTACCCGCGTTATATGTAAAATGTGTAAAACATATGTAATCTTATTGGGAGACATGATCACAGTCGCGATATAACGAGGTTCCACTATATTTGCTTAATATTTTAAACTAGAGATTACGTGACATTTAGAAGGTTCTTGTGACTGGTAATATTAATTATGGCAGAAACGAAACACTGCAAGGTTTCAACTCAAGTGATAACACTACTAGCAGATAATAGCCCATGGTTACGTATTAAAATTGTCAGTTCGGTCTGTAGTTTCACTATGAAAACAGGTACAGTCTTATTATGGACTGTTGTTCATCTAATAAACGTACAAGCAGATACAGGTGAGTAAATATTACACTGTTTCAGTTTTAATGTAAAATTCATTACATTTTTGGAACTATAGACATGACACAATTACATCACAGAAGCATTTGTAAGGGTTTTATGGGCAGAAGAAACAAAAAAGATGGCAATTCAAAATAAACTGCTAGCACAAAAGATTTATTTTTAATATTCTTATTTACTGCAATAAAATGTGTGATGGATGACCGGATTTCGATTCTCTGTAGGGTATTTTTGTACACTACCACGTCCAGACCGACTCTGTGCCCCCATGTATAGTGGAACAGAGTAAACTTGAGTGGCTAGAGTTTAAAGCTGATCCCTCATCGCCATACGCGAGGATGTGAAATTAATAATACTTAGAGCCATTATACATATTTGTTGTCATTAACGCATTAAAATTCTTGTTTGTAACACATTTAAGAATGCCATAAGAAACCACTCACGTAAAAGTACCACAAAGTATCAACACTGTTGTGGACAAGTTTGTCCCAATGCGAAGATTCAAATTTTCTGAGCCGTCACAAATAAAAATATTAGTTATTGACACTAAATAAAATTGAATATGTCTTATATAAACGCATATACATTCAATTTTACTCACCCATTTACTTAATATAAGTTGAAATTTGTAACCAAATGTTTTTGGGCCATTTTTTTTCATCGCATGTGCGTTCTACTTAATGTCCTTGGTTCAAAATGAATTCAAGTCAGCTTTGTTTAAAATCTGTAGTCATTATATCTTGAGTGTGATATCAATAAACTTACAGCAGCATACATTTTAAGTTTTTATAACAATATTAGCACGCTGTTAACAAAAAGCCAGAGCAAACCTCATACTTTCTTCGAACCAACCGAAATCAAAGCACCCCGAACTCCTAACTAACCACAGAACCAACAGAAGCCGAGTAGTACACAACTTAGTTCTACTTATGTCAACCAGTTCCGATCATTACGTCATCATGAGGAGTTGACTGTACTGTGGCAAGAACTCCGAAAGAAAGGTGAAGAAGACAGTGATTAAATAATGTATACAGTTGCAAAAAATAATACAAAATTCCATCACTGTCATAACAGAAGCAGAAACTTACTTCTCCTAGAATATTCCAAACTAGCGATGTCTCTTTCTAAATGACTTCCCAACCTCTGTGGACTTGCTGTTTCTTTCATGTATACTACTTAATTTGCCCATTTAAACCTCTTTATTTCATGCCCCTAACAAGAGCAGTCACAAGTACAGAGTCTGTTCATATAACACTTAATTCTTTTTTGGCATTTCTTACGATTTCGTGAGTGATGGGCCACCCCTTTACAAGACCTCTACACCAACAGGACAATTCAATATAGAAAAACGTGAATAAAAGTGCATGAAACGAACAACATTCGAGACAGCGATTGTAACATTTGAATAGTCCAAAACCAACAGATTTTACGTCAGTTTCTAAGAAATTAATTCCATGAGTTGTTATTAAGAAGGTCTCTGTCTCTCAGTTGGTTAAGGAATTTCGACTGTTATGGAACTTGATGGTTCAATCTCGTGTCCATAAGAGCCCGCCATTGGACCCTAACCTTACACCCTATTTCTTTAAGACAAATTTTATTATTATCTTCCCATCTACACACAAGACACTCAAGTAATTTCTTCCACATTCTACGACTGAAACTGTGTATGCACACAACACTTTCTGCTTCTCATAATTCTATTAATATTAAAACTTATAGAGTAATTTATCTGGTTTCGGCATAGATAACACAAAGTCCTGTTTCAACTTTAACAAGCACTGCATTCGTGACATTAGTTTATTAGACACACATGGCGTAATATATATTTATAGACTGCGGAGTCGAGCTGGTTCCACAGGGTCGGATAGTGGGAGGAGAAGACGCAGATGGATACAGATTACCGTGGTACGCACTCTTGCATCCCCCGGAAGATAAAACGACCCCAATATGCTCAGGAACACTTATCGACAGCCACCATGTAATAACTGCTGCTCACTGTTTTGTCTTGTAAGTAAGTAGATGTTGCTGTGGTGATGTCCCAGCGAGAATTATTCCCAAAGAAGATATTCCCCTAAAAATTTGTGAACCAGAGTCTTTCAGTGGCATTGACATTTTTAAGTATCACTGGTTCCTCTCACAAAGAAAAAGTTTTTGTTCACAGTATTTATTTTGCGTCATACTAAAAGTGCCCCCCAACCACATTTGGACTCCGAAGGTCTCGATGGCATGTCCATTCCATTTCCGCGTAGCAGATTAGCATATGCATATTTTGAAAAAAATTCCAGCGCACCATTCAGATATGGACATTAATGATTCCTTAAAATTAAAATTAAAATTAAAAGAGTAGATACAGATAAAGTGGCCAAATTTGTTTAATATAATACGAAATACATTTTCAGGATGAAAGGGGACAATAATACATCCAAATTTAGTGTAACTCTAGGAATATACAACAGATGTATGAACGAGTCCACCCAACAGACGTTCATGGTTTCCAGTGTCGTTCTGAACCCAAACTTTACGACTTCAACCGACAGCTATGATATCGCCATCATAACGTTGAATCAAACTACAAACTACACGCCCATTTGTCTTCCCGGCAAAGGTAAAGAGATGCTACGAGTTTTTGTGTTGATAATTTATTATAAATTCCGTGCATTATTTAAATGTTTCATCTGAACTGTTTATCAGACTCTGAGGAGATAGCAAAAAACAAGATGTGTGGCCTAAAATCGTCTGATTCAGGAGAAGGATCTATGGTGGGATTTTGTGAAAGAAACTGAACAAGTACAAGAATGTAAATATTTAAAACATTTCATAATCGCAAGTGGCTACGGAGACTTTAACAATTAAAGTAAAATATTTACGTGGGTAAGTGAAATAATTCATAGACTGGTAAAGAAAAGTACGGTACGTATTTTAAATGAAACAAAACCATAAGTAAAGAAGCAGTAGTTAAGGCCCTTAATTGAATGTACAGCTCTAGACAAACACGGGATTCTACAGGTAATCATGGCAGTCAAGGTAGTCCCGTTTTTAACCAAAACTGGAATGTATCTACAAATATGTGCAAAACCATCTAGTATGAAATTTCACGAGAATTTGTTCAGTTGTCCTCGAGTTGTCACACGCGGGCTGACGGACGGACAGACAGACCTGGCAAAGGTAATATGCGTAATTCTGCATATTTTAGTTTTAAATGCGCCTAACAACTGATAGGCTTATTGTAATACAATAAAGGTTGATATCGCAACCATAGTTGGATTAAGCTCTATTAGTAAGAACAGGAAGAATGGGTAATACTTATGACCGAAGAGATCACGGAATTGCAAACCTAAAGGGCAAGAATTAGAGGAAGGCTAAGAAACGTTGTATATAAATATATTAACCGAATTATTTCTACATTTGTTATCAAGGATAAAAGATGTTAATTCTGAATTTATATATCGCCTGGTGAGAACAATAGTGACGTAACTCAGAAATCGCCGATTTTGAGTTATATCCATAAATAGACTTGGAACATTCACCTTTAAATCATGCATAAGCGGCGGAAGTGTAGGTCCGCCCTATGCCG